AACAGGGAAAACACGACACATGATTTCGTCTGGAAAAGCGTGTAAGATCATGAGTGTCTGATATGCTTCTACATGGTCGACGGGGTCTGTGGTACCATCGAAAGTGTCGATCGACGGCATCTTGAACTTGGGTGAGAGAGCTTTATCCTGGATAAAGGCGATGAAAGGAGAGTTAACGGTAGAGGAAGTCTTGTGCTGCATGTTCTACATGACCCCCGTAGTTGGAGTTTCATGGCCCGTAGTTCTTCATCCCAGACGGGAGCAATATCCCTACAAGCAGGGATTTGGGGTTGAACACTACTAGTCTCACCTTCATGGGCAACCGTATGGTGTGGTAAAGGGTGGTTATGGAAAGACGGTGGCATTTCTTGATGAGGTTGTGAACCTGATGGGGGAGGGTGCAAACTATCAAGATTCGACGGTTGGAGCCGCGTGACGAATGGTGGAAATGTTCCTTGAGACACGTGTGGTGGGAATTGATGGTGATGGTGGGCTTGTTCTGGGTGCGGGGGAACTATTGGCCGTGGTGGAGGCGGGATAGGCAGGCCACGCTAGAGTAAGGCTGGTCTAAGCTTCCAATAGGTCTGCTGGCCCTAAAGTCCGTGGAATGTACCTGTAAAAAGGTCCAATGGGGGAGGTAATCCCTTGGTGGACCCTCCGACGATCGAGTTAGAATAGGAAGATTGACTATGTAGAAAGAGAGACAGAAGAGAAGGAATGAAGAACTTAACCTTTGATGTGTCTCGGAAACTTTCTTATATCCTTTGCTCATCATTTCCTTGTCCATTCAAGCGTGTCGTGTTGGCTTAAAGTCTATGTTTTAACTTGCATTGTTCATGGTAAGTCTGTATATTCTGACGTGAAGGGGTTGTCGCATTTAATGCTATAAGAGCCTCATTAATGGCTGATGTGTGGTGCAATAACTTTGCTGGATCTTTTTTTGCTTATGTGTCTAGGCCCCTGTTTGGCAAGTGTTTGAATGTTATTGGTCCTGGCCTAATGTTGATTTCTTAGAGTTATTGGACTTTGATCGCTGGAATGTGGACTGGGTCCTGATCCATGGATTAGGCCCTTGTGGGTTGGGCCCTACTGGGTGCCCATCGATATCAGTCTCAAATAAATGACTTTTGTCATTTTATCTTTTAGTGTTGATAATATTTTCAAATTAATTTTTTTTTTTTAAAAAAAAATTCTGACACTTGATTATGAAATTTAAGGGTAACTAAACTTGTTTATATTTGAACATGAGAAACCAAATATTCATTTTGGATGTGACTTATGTAATACCAAATTTAATTCTATATTAAATGACTTTTGTCGTTTAGATTTGTCTCAAATAGATGACTTTTGTTGTTTTATCTTTTAATGTTGATAATATTTTCAAATAAATTTTTATTTTTTAAAAAAAATTTAGACATGTTTATATTTGAACATGAGAACCAAATACTCATTTTGGATGTGACTTATGTAACACCAAATTTAATTCTACATTAAATGACTTTTGTGCGTGTGTAGAGAGAGACTAGGGGGCGGTAAATAACGACAAAAGAGAGGGATGGAAGGCAAGAGATGTGTTGTGTTGGTTTGGAGGGTGGGATGGAGAGGTTTGTAATTTGCACGTGAGAGAGGCAAAGGCAAGGGTGAGGACCCCACCTTCTGTTACGTTTTTAGCACCAGGTTCCAAACACATCCTTCACCTACACTGTTGTACCTACTCCTTCCTCTAATTCTACATTAAATGACTTTTGCCGTTTAGATTCATCTCAAATAAATGACTTTTGTTGTTTTATCTTTTAGTGTTGATAATATTTTCAAATTAATTTTTATTTTTAAAAAAAATTTCAGACACTTGATTCTAAAATTTAAGGGTAACTAAACTTGTTTATATTTGAACATGAGAAGCCAAGTATTTATTTTGGATGTGACTTATGTAACACCAAATTTAATTCTACATTAAATGACTTTTGTCGTTTAGATTCGTCTCAAATAGATGACTTTAGTTGTTTTGTTTTTTAGTGTTGATAATATTTTCAAATTAATTTTTAATTTTTTGAAAAAATTTCAGACACTTGATTTTGAGATTTAAGGATAACTAAACTTGTTTATATTTGAACATGAGAAGCCAAATATTCATTTTGGATGTGACTTACATGACACCAAATTTAATTCTACATTAAATGACTTTTGTCGTTTTATCTTTTAGTGTTGATAATATTTTCAAATTAATTTTTATTTTTTTTTTTTAAAATTCAAACACTTGATTCTGAAATTTAAAGGTAATTAAACTTGTTTGTATTTGAACATGAGAAGCCAAATTTTCATTTTGGGGTTGAGTTATGTAACACCAAATTTAATTCTACATTGAATGACTTTTGTCGTTTAGATTTGTCTCAAATAGATGACTTTTGTCGTTTTGTCTTTTAGTGTTGATAATATTTTCAAATTAATTTTTATTTTTTTAAAAAAAATTCAGACGCTTGATTCTGAAATTTAAGGGTAACTAAACTTGGTACCTTAACAATTTTCAAAGGTAACTGAACTTAGGTCTCGACATTCAACCATTTTAGTATAAAAGTCAAAAAGTTATTAAAAAAATTAAAAAATTTATCATTTTATCCTACAAATCTATCTACAAATTGAAATTATGAGTGTCTAATAAAAGCCTACCATCCTATCACTTTGTTTGGTTCTCGTTTTTAGAAAACAGTTTTCAGAAAATTTTACTTTTTTATTTTTCGTATTTTAATATTTTTGATGAATTTTTTAATATATTAAGTAATTTTTTTTTTAATTTTTAGACACACCGAACATAAATACACTTAAAAAGTATAATATTTATAAAAAAATATTTAAAAAATATACTAAATACTATAAAATACAAAAAAAATAAGAAAATTCATTACATTTTTCGTATTTTTATATATTTATTAATTTTTAAAATATTTTTTCATAAATATTTTACTATTTAGATACATCTAAGTAAGGTGTATCTAAAAAAGTAAAAAAAATTACTTAAAATTTTAAAAATATTCACAAAAAAAAAATTCAATTTTTACAAAACTAAATTAAAAAAATTAAAACTAAACACATACTTATGAGGATTTTTTTGAATAAAAAAATGGTACTTCTAATCTCTTTTAATAAATTATTATGTAGTTTTTGATCGTTATATCAATTTTGATATTGCCTACTTATAAAAATTAAATACCTTACGTCATGTTCATTGATATAAGAGAGATGTTGACATGGAGGACTTCAATGAGAAAGAACGAATTTGGTAGTCTCTTCACGTTAGTTTTGATGTGAAATCATTAATGATTAGTCAAGTCCCACAATTTATGTTTATGGTTTTAAAAATGTTTCATAGCTCGAGATTCCTACAGCTCGAGTGGTCTGAAATTTTAAAATGGTGTCGTTTTGATTTTTTTTTTTTTTCTTCTTCTTTTTTGAAATTGGTTTGAGTTGGTTTGAGAACAGGTGAGAGAAAGAGTGGAGGAAGAGAGAAGAAAAAAAAGAGAGGAAATAGAGAAAGAAAATTCTTCTTGGGTTTGTTGCTTTCTGTGAAAATTCTTGCTTCATATATCTAGATCTGGGTTGGAGGTAAATAATCTAATGATTTGTAACTTCAGTGTTCATGGGCATTCTTTGGAAAAGAGGATGACCTACCTTCCATGGAAGCTACTCTGTAAGTGTTAGCATCAAATTGAACACTAGGGTTTGTTAGTCATCTCTGTTAATCAAAACCACAAACATTTGGAGTGCAAAAGGTTGAGACTTAACTCAAATCATTCGAATTTCACAGTAATTCAAGTTTTAGAACAAAGAATTGAAAATCCATACAATGAAACTGAAAGAAAATGTCAAAAAATTAAATGCAATCAAGTCAAAGAAATAGGGGATAAGTCAAAATCATTATAATCAAAGTAAAAATTTACAATTTTTTGAAATCAAAAGAGACATTTCATTGAGGAGAAGAGAACCTTGGATTCGTTGGTAATGATTTTATTACTAGCAGCCATTGACAAGTGATCTTGAGGAAGATGAAGCTTTGAGAGGGTCATAACCAAGTGAAGAATGAGGGAGAGAAATGAAGCTCTGTGTGATAGTGGTGGTTTTGGAAATTCCTTGTTTTTGAGTTTGGGAACAAAGAGGAGTGAATGATGGCGTGAAGGGAAAGAGAGGCGAGAGAGAGAGAGAGAGAGAGAGAGAGAGAGTCAAAAGCAAAGAAGGAAAGAGAGAGGTAGACGAAGAAGAGAGATTGAGCTCAGCAGAAAGTTGAGTAGAAAAGCAAATTCGGGCCACTCGAGCCGCAAGGTTTTGAGCTACGTAGCAGGGTTGTTATGTTTTCCCAATAATCAACTGACTGCACAGTCAAACAGCAGATTGTCGCGTCAACAGGTCATTTTACTTACAAGTAGGTATAAATTTACAACCAAAACTATTAATTTACCTATTTCTTTATTTTACAAAATATTTCATTTCACGTTTTTTCATTAAAAAAAATTAAAAAATTATTCCCAAACATACTAATTTTCCACCCCTCATATTTTAGTTAAAAAATTAAAAAAAAATTACTAAAATAATTTGTTCCTAAACAAAACCTTACGTGGTTATTGAAATTATAAAAAATTATCTAAGGTATCCATTTAATAATAAGAAAATATATTATTATTATTTATTTGAAAAATAAGAAGAAAAAAAAGTCATATATCTTGTTAATATTGGAAGAGCATAGTATGTATTCTATATATCATATCTATTAGATAATTTCTCAAACAGAGGTAATTGTTTTAAAGAAAATGAGGAGTTTATTGCAATTATAATCATGGCCTGATTGGAAAAATAGTATCTTCTATGAGATTAGTATTATTACATCTTTACCCTTTTTACCCTTCCTTCCCAACCATCCTTCCATCATCAATGTGTTTCCCTCCTCCATTTCTTTCCTCACAATGCAGTTTTCTTAAACCACCCTCCCACCCACCAAATTTTTTAAAAAAAAAAAAAGAAAAAAAAAAAAGAAGTAAAAGAAAAGATTAACAATGAAGACCACAAGAAAGGATTGTCTTTTGCATTTTGTGGTTCTCTCTCTGTTTCAAGCTTCGAAATCGCTTCTTGTAACTAGTTTTGAATTTGACATCATGCTTTGTTCTTCTCTAGTTCTTCTTTTAAAATCACACGTTGGATTCGCTCGGTTTGATAGACTTGTTGTTGTCTCCATCTTCATCGACTGCTATAATTTCCTTTGGCATTTGATCTGTGTCTGCCTTGAAATTTTGCTCCATCTCAATTGCACTCAAGTCGATCACCGTCCCTAAATCTTGTAGCTTGACTACTGGTAGAACTTGTTTTTTTGTGTCCTTGTAGACGATGTACAATGCCATTTGTGCAATCCCAAATGCAAATCCTAAGATGTTCGGTGTCTAATCGTGCAAAAACAAGAAAATAAATAAATAAATGAAACTATTTAGTTATAAGTAGCAAAAATCTAATATACAATTTAATTTAGAAATTTGAAAGATATTTTCAAGATCCGAGGGACTCACTACAAGTTCCACTTAAATGATCCATTCATTTTTTGAACAATTTGATTTTTTTCACAGAGGCAAAAAAAATGAATGCATTTGATCATTGAAACAACCTTTTCGACTAAAAAATTTGTTCCCCAAAATTTATAAATAATGTGGTAACAAAATTTTTGTAATTATAGGCATATAATGCATTGTGTACATAAATTTTGTGGACACTTACTGCAATGTAGTAATCCTTTATCAAAAAGCCGTAGAAGAACCACATGATAGCACATAGTGTGAGGAAAAATGAGAGTGCAAATGGCATGTACTCCACGCTCTTCGTTTTTATAACCAGCCTCTGCAAAATAAACAAAAAAGCACATAAACATATACATCATAAAAGTAATAATTTTATCTACACAAATTTTAAATTATTTTATATGATTAATTATGTATTCGACATAATAAACTTAGGTCATGTTTGGCAATTACATATTTTAGTTAAAAAGTTAAAAAGTCACTATCAATTATCACTTTCTTTATTTTTCTACACATCTTTTTGTAAAAAATTAAAAAATTACTAAAATAATTTGTTTCTAAAGGAGACTTTAGTATAACAAACAAGCACCATGATGCTGAGAGGAGCAGCAAAAACAGAGACAGAAAAGACAGCACAGATCCATCCGACAATAGTGACTCGCTGATGCCCTTTGGAGAATAGGAATGTGCAAAGCGTGATCAAACCGAATGCTCCTACGTTAAACATGATAAGCAGCTTTGTCGTATATAAAAAAAAAAAAAAAAAAAAAAAAAAAAAAAAAAAAAAAAAAAAAAAACCACAACAAAAAAAAATGGCACTGTAATCAATAATTTATAAATTTTTTATTTGTATATCATTGCTTGTAAATGAAAGACAAGGCATAGACACCAACCTTGGCCTCCCTTGTTGCATATATCATGAAAACTAGGAGATATGTGGCTTCAATGGCACATCCTACGGTGTTGATTGTAATAATCATAAGCCCATTTGTCTTCAAAAAACCATAGTACAATAGTAACATAGCACTGAAGAGTGCAACAGCGTAAGGTATCGATTGAAATCCTTCTGTTGACTTCTTCTTGTATATTCTATAGAAGGTTGGCCTACCCAAAAAAATAAAATATTTATTGATAAATACTAGTTTTAAATAACAATATCACGATAGATATAGTATCAACGATACAACAAGAGAGGGATGGAGAGCTTACAGTGGTGCCAAGTACACAAAAAATGACACAATGTTGCCTATGGGAAATGAAAAAAAGAAGAAAGTTTAGATGATAAGAAGGTTAAAAAAAGAAGAAGAAGAAGAAGAAGATGCAATTAATGGGGGGATGAAGAATGTACCAAGAATGCCAAATGCAGAAGCCATGTGAGAAGCAGTTAAGATAGCCATATCTTGGTGATGGAGTGTGAAGCCCTTTGGAAAAAAAGGTGGGACTGTTTGAGAGCAAAAGAGCTTATGAGAACTCTTTGCATTCCTCACATTTATATAGGCATAAAATAAAATAAAAAATAAAAAATAAAAAATAAAAAGTAAAAAGTGAAAGAGAATTTTTTTTGAAGATGGCTTGCGTTTGAGATTTGGCTTTAAGCTGTCCAACAAAAAAAACTGCTCATGAATGGGAGGGAAGGTTGTGTGTTAGTCTAGATGAGTTGATGATTCATCATGAATTCCATTCCCCCATGCCTATTTCTGGGTTTGGCAACTTGAAAAAGCTCATTGTGTATCTTGTAACTATCTCAAGGAAAAACCACATTTGACAACTCAATTTCCTACCTGTTTGGCTCATGTGACTTGTACCTCTCTTAAACTTTAGGCCCATCAATTTTCTCCTATAATATAAGGTAAAAGAAAATGCTATTTACCATAAATTTATATGAAAATGCTATCAACCAAAAATTTGCGTCTTGAAAATTACCTTGTAAGTAGGTCAAGTATATGCGCTAGATTTTAAGACACTGGGATGTGAATCACATTTACCACGATTGTGGACCAAAGATGTACTTTTTGGAGTAGTTTTTTTTTAGTATATTGTATTATTATAAATATTATATATATATATATATATATATATAAACAAATTGAAAAATGTTATATAGAATACTCGACTAAAATGATATGATAATTATATTTAAATTTATATATTATTTAAATAATTTTTTATTAATATATTTTTACTCATTAGACAAAAACACAATGAGTTAATGGTCATTTTTGGTAAATTTTACGAAGACTATTTTAAATAAATAAAAAACTTTAATTAGTGAAAATTTTAAAATTTGTAAGAAACTACACAAAATAAGTTTTAAATATCGTTGACATTTTAGTTAAAAAATTATTATAAATTATCGCATCACAATTTTAATTTTTTTACATATTTTTTATAAAAAATTAAAAAATTATTAAAATAACTTAACGAGAGTTTTATGTTGACAAGTAAATGGCTTATTTGGCTAGGAAGACAAGTCGCATGAGCGGCTAAGCCATTTCGATGACGTGAAGCAAATGATTGTTTGGAATTAGGATTAGAGTGTGGGTGTGAGTGTGCGTGTGTAGGGAGAGACTAGAGAGGAGGTAAATAAGGACAAATAAGAGGGATGGAAGGCAAGGGATGTGCTGTGTTGGTTTTGGAGGATGGGATGGAGAGGGTTGTAATTTGCACTTGAGAGAGGCAAAGGTAATCGTGAGGACCCCACATTCTGTTACGTTTTTAGCACCAAGCTCCAAACGCATCCTTCACCTACACGGCTTGCTTTTCCTTTAATTGGCTCTCTTTCTTTCTTCAAATTAATCGGTATTTTTTGTCCTACTACTACACTGCTGTACCTACTCCTTCCTCTAATAACTCTATTCTTGTGTCATTAAATTCATCAGATAACTCTATTCTTGTGTCATTAAATTCATCAGACCAACCCCCCCCCAACCCCCCCCCCCCCCCCCCTTCTCATTTGTTTGTAACTAGTTTATATATATACTAGCGATGTGCGTTGTTACAAATAAAATTTACGTGTAAGTTTTAATAAGTTTTATAATAATTAATAAATTTTTTTATCAAACATGATCAAAAAATGTTATTATTATTTATTTTCAACAACAATTTAAGAATTTTGTCATAAAAAATACTATTAATTATAAATTTTAACGACAATTTAAAAGAATCGTCACGAAAAAATTATTAATTTTGAACTTTATGCGATAGTTTGAAAAATTTTGTCACAAAAAAATATTACTAATTGTAAATTTTAACAACAATTTATAAAAACAATTGACAAAAAAAAGTCACTATTGTCAAATTTTTACGACATATACTAAAAATTGTCAAAAAAATTTATTTTAAGTGATAATTTTACTATGACTTATTTTTAATAAGAATTGATAAGAATTAAGTCCAACTATAATAATATATTGGTAATTTAATTTTGTTAAAATTGTATTACATTATAAATTTGGATCTGAATTTAAACTGGACAGGCAAAAAGTCAGTAATAGTTATGTGGAGATATTTTGGAAAGATCAAAATAATGTGATAGTTCACAGTAGCTCGAACTTTATAAAATATATATATATAATACAAATATATTTCTTGATGGTAGTGAGAAGAGATATAATGAATTTAAATTATACATTATTATTTTTAATATTATTTTTTTTGTATTTGAATTTTTGGCATCTGGTATTGCTCATTTTTGGTGCAGTCAAACAAAAATGATCAGGCTTGACAAATCATGTGATCCTTTTGCTTACAACAAAATAATATGCATGATGCTTGTGCCCTAATGATAGATTCTAATCGATTGGAGATTTTTTTTTGCCTAGATATTTTTTATTTTGGAATAGTTATGCACTCAAATATATATATATATATTGAGAAAAATGTCAAGAAAATATAATGTTTAATTTAATGTATTGTGAATGATATTTAAAACGCATATGATCTATGATACCTGTTTTATTTTCTGTACTTTTTTTGAATATTAATTTTTTAATATGTAACATTAGTATTTGGTCTCCATCTATTCATAGGAAGCCTAATTAATCCAACAAATTAGATGATCACATGTGTTCACATTTACACCACTAGAGTGTTATTTAACTGGTTATAAGATTGGTTAAATGTTCATTTCGTGCACAACTTTGCCTGAAAATTTTGTATTTTCATGCAATTATTAAAGGGAAACTAGCAAGCTTATCACTGAATATAGACCACTAAATTATGCAATTTAAGGTTCAAACATTGTAGTTAAGGAGGCATTTCATGTTAGGTAGTTTGACCATAAATATGTACACATGCATTAATAAGAAAGGTTATATATGGTCTATTTTTTTATCAGTATTTTACTTCACTTCTTACGTTGATGTTTATGATTGATTTTCTTATTTCGAGATAATTATTAAAAAATTGATAAAAATAAATAATATTTTATTATATAATTTGGTAATATAAAAGAGTGACAAAAACAAGTGATATATACCAATAGTTCTCATACATGCCCAATCTTAAGCCATAGTATTGAGAAACCATTTTGTTTGGTTTTCAAACTCAAAAATTATTTGTTTCTTTGTTTTTTGCATTTTTTTTAATCTTTGCCAAACTCTTTTCATGTTTTGGTAAGTTTTTTTTAAAAACTTTTTAGATTCACTCTAAAAGTTAACTATTTCAGAAGAAATCTAAGAAAAAAATAATAAAGTAAAAAAAAAATATTTGCGTGGTTTTTGTCTTTAGTGAAACCAAAATTTTAAAAAATAAAACAAAATAAACTTTTAGGCAACCCTAAAAAAAAAAAAGAATAAAAATATGATTTTTTTTTCAAAGAAAATAAATCATGAAAAACAGGAACAGTATTCCAAAATCAAACCAACTAACTACATTGATCAAAGCTTAGGGAGATCATTTAATGGGTCCAAACAATTAAAATTTAATAAGCAAATGAAATCGTTTTACACTTGTTGGTTCATGAATGTCTAAAATGTATTACTCCCTCCGTCCCAAAATATTAGTCCCTTATTCCATTTTTCATTGCCCCAAAATATTAGATCATCTTCAAAAATTATGTACAAAAGTAATATAAATTTTCTATTTTGCCCTTCTTTTAAATTAATAAACAATATAAAAAGTACAATTATGACATTGATATTCTCAAAAAATGTACTATCAAAGGATAATTTTGGTAAATCAACTTTTTTTAAATGCAATAATTGTACTATCAAAAAAAGTTAGATTCCCCAAAAGAGACCATTATTTTGAGACGGAGGGAGTATCTCCAATATAACAAGCTGCCCACAACTAACACTTTTATGACAAAAAAAAAAAAAAAACAGAATGGTTTATTTATTTATTTTTCGAGTCTTTGCTGGCAATCATTCATGGTGGCTTTGTCTTATTTAGATTCCTTTTTTTAAAGTCAGTTAAGATGACATATTTAGCTCGTAAGCCTTCCATCTGTTTTTATTGTTTTTGTTTCACAACTGATTCCATCTGTTGTGTTTGGTTGTTTGATATTTAATCCTGACATACCATAAAATTTATTGGTGTAAAAAATACTATACACAAATCATTTTTTATCAGATTTTCTTATTATTAGATAAAAAAAACAACTAATGGTATAAGTCTAGTGATAAGAAAATAGCTTTGTTTAGCAACGACTAAAAGGTCATTTTTTAATTTTTGTTGTTTTTAGTAAATTTTTTTTTAAAAAAAAATTGTATCAATTTTTTTAAACTTTTCTAGTCATAATAATGTAGAGGAATCTATAAAGTAAAAAAAATCAAAATAAAGGTTCCTTAAACACAAAAAAGTAAAAAAAATATATATATAATAATTCTTCTAGTCATTTTTTTCAGTTGACTTTTCAATTTTTTTTTAAGGTCTTTTAGCCAGTAAAATTTTAAAGTGAATCCATTTTGAATTTAAAAAAAAAAAAAATCACTAAAGAAGAAAAAAAAAACTGCATTGGCAAATATCAATTTCATATGTTACCCATACTATTTTTTGATCGTGACATTGCAAATGAAATAGGTGTGTGAAATTGTCTAAATTATGTGAAAGAAAAAATTTATTTCAAAACGTATCTATAAAAAAAATGTATTATATTAATTCAAATTTCCAGTGATGTGTATTTTAAAATATTTTTTATGAATAAAATAATATTATTATATGTGAAATATATAAGGAATGTAACTGTCAACTACTCCGGTCGCAAACGTGCAAATCACATGCTAATTTCATACCAAAACGGAAGATATGATTATATATATAGTCATAATTTGAGCTTCCTTTATAAGTTAGTTAAAAAAAATTAGTTTATTAGTTAAAAAAAATTCTTTCAAATTCTTTTTTTTTTTTTGTTTTTTTTTTTGCCTTTAGTATATTTTACTTTTGCAGTTTGTTTACTGTAGAAGAATCTAAAAAGTATTTTGAAAAAAATTGAAAAACTCCACACACACACACACACACACAAAACAAAAT